CCTATATTAATTTTATATTTTGTCGAAAGGAAATTTTATAATTTTAATCCTTGAAATTGTGATACTGTGAATTATTACGAAACGGAACTCTTAAATTTTAATTTTAACCAACGGGAACGGAYGCAAAGTTTATTTTACGAACCGGAACGCCGTTCCGGTGCGTTCCGGTCCATTTCGAGCACTGTATATAACTATATAAATAACTTTGTTTAGCTAAATTATTAAAATATTATACTTTTAATTAACCTGCTTTTTTTCTTTTCGGCGCTAATATCAAATATCGGTGAACTTTTTTAAGTGACGATCGGAATTTCATTAAATAATCTAAAAATAAAATGAAATAAAGAAATTGAGACCGAGAAAAATATATACCTAAACGAAAATGGTTAATGAATAATGAGTATCAGTGGAGTATTTAAATTTATGTTAAAGGAGCTTATCATTTTTAAATAAATAAAATAATGATATAATTTCATTCAAACAAAGTTTATTTTGAAATTGTTTCGATTTATATGCTCCACTATTATTCATTTACACGATAAATTAGTCTAGTTGATGCCTAATATAATATAGTTACACTCTATAATTCTATATAAAAAAAATACGAACTCATTATTTTCTAAAGGCAAATTTATTGTTTCGTCGCTCAAGTCATTTAGAAAAGATATTGATGCCTCTGCCTCCATGATACCTTCATGACCGTGAATTGCTGTAGGACCAATCATATTTACAATAGTGTTTTCTATTTCATTCAGATAATCGCTGTCCGGTTTGTCACCACCTCCCGTATTATTATACGACGCCTTAGATAGGACTTGCCTTTAGTCACCACTTTAGATCATTGTAGCACTAGTAATTAAATAGTTTATAATTAAAAAAATGTTGTATGATAATTATTTAAAAAAATATATTGTTTACTTTTCTCTAAAGCTGCCAAGTTTTAGTTGCGCCAACACACGAGTTTAAAATGATGGTAACTTCTTCCCAAAGCCTTTGTGAATCTTTTAAAGTAAAATTAGCTGAAAACTTTTTTATGTTTAGCTGAGGATGTTTGACGACCCATTCAACCAAAATTTTTTTTTGTTCCTCGCTTATATTTTTGCCCTTTGGTCGTTTTTCAGCCACTTTAGTACTCATTAAAATGAAATTATTAACAACTTATATTATATTAATTACCTATTGAAAATTTTATTTTAATTATTCCTGTATAGCAAACAAAACTATAATCAAGGGCACATTTAATGATAATTCAATAAAAGTAAAAATGTTTACCATAGATGTATAACGGATTTTTCAACCATCCGTGTATTTTTAAAATAACAGCTGTGATAAAACAGGGACGCCAACGCATATTCATAACTTTTATAACAATATTCATTCGTACACTAACCGTTCGTTTACCTTTATTAGATTATCATTCAAAAATAAGGTTTTTCATTGATCGAATATCAGTGAACGAATAATTCGTTTACGAGTAATTCGTTCGTTATTTTCGATCAAGTTCAAAAATAGACCCCCAGCACCTAATATCGTGAACGGTTATAGATACCTCGATTAAAGATAGTATGGTTGCGTGACGACGTATGATAATGTATAAGCAAGAAGCAGCCACAAATATGCTAACAGTCAATCTGACTGCATGGTAGCGCTCACTATCGCTCAATAAATTCACAAGAACTAATTTATATGTTTTTGATTTCGATCATAGATAGCATGGCGGTAGACAACAATGTTATTGTGTATAAATATATTATTCTATATTTCTTTGGCTATAGTAAAGTAATAAGGATCGGGATTCGGGAATTTGTTTTTTATACCACCTGTGATTTACTACAGCATTTTACACATTATTGACATAATATCTCGTTCTAATATACAAAATTGTGATATATTATTTATATTAATGACTACTACCAGTACTACCCCAAAAATGTCTTGTTGTATTCGCTCACCACATTCTGTGGCAAACACCACTTTTGGAGTACCAAAGAATGAGCTGGAAAAAAATAAATGGGAGGAGGCTTTAGGCATGAAATTAAAAAAAAGCCATCGTGTATGTGCTTCTCATTTTAATGAATGCGACATAATAAGCTGTTGGAATTCTGGTTTGAATAATTATTCGGTAAGTAGGTATTCAAAAGTTACTAAGAGTCTAAGAACATTAATAACAATGTAAAGTAAATCTGCAAATATACCTATTTATACCTGAAWAACAAATGAACAAATGTTTRTCAAAATAAAATGTTTACAGGTATGTTATAAAAGGAAGCAGTTAAAAAAAGGTGCAATAYCATCATTATTAACTTGTACTGACCTATCATTGTTTTCAACTTCAAATAACAACATGCAGGAGGTAGGTATTTTTTGTTTTTGAATGCATTGTGTACTTTTTGACTGGGTAAATATCTGGGTACTATCTTGAAGGTTTATCTTACTAAATTAATTATATAATACGTTCACTGTTCACAGTTACATAGTAAAACGTTTGAAAAACAGTTTTAAGTGCGACTTATGTATAAAATGTTTAGAAGCAAAATATGGAGTACTACCAGACCCAGAAGCAGATTTAATAAATATGAAAACTAGAGGATTTTTAACACACCCTAATCGCCCGATATTTTTATATATTAAGGAGTTAGAATGTTGTTTTAAGAAGTTAAAAAAAAACAATCGAGTTAAAAAAAACAATCGAGTGACTTTTCGGTATTATCGACACAATTAACTTGATAATTTTCACTTATTAAATTTTCATTGGGTAAGTAGGCCTAAAATGAACCAAAACAGGTACGATTTAATCGGATGCCCAATTATCTTGACGTCTTCCAGGCGAATATACCACATAAAATATTGGAATGGGGATGTTTTACATACAAAATCCATATAACTTATTAACTTTGGTAATTTTTTTAGTATAAGTTTTTCATTTATTAGCTTTAATTAATACATTATACAATCTAATCATAGGCGAATGGTGTGGTGGTGGGTTGTCTAAGGGAGGACTATAGCCCCCCTAGAATTTTGTTTAGCCCTCCATTTCGTGGATTTTTTTAGTTACATTTTTAAATATATGTTGTGTACCAGAAATATAATAGGCTATAGCCCCCCCCCCCTATAAATTCATCACCATAGGGTATGAATATATATGTATAATAAATACACTACGCCTATGAATCTAATGAATCTATGTATTAAAAACTATGAGAATTGTATTATGAGAAGAAAATCATAATAAATTATAGGATGTTTTTGGTAGGTAACTCTTATTTGGAAAATAGTAAATACTAAATACCTACTGAGGATTTTAGTATTTTATACGCTATGTATGATTTGTACTAGATGGACAGTTGATACTTGATATATAACTAAAACACTATAAAAGTACATACAATTTATCCAAACCAGTTGGATATATTTTACTATTTAGTTTAAAAAAAACAATCAAAATAAGTATTTTTATTTTTATTTTTTTTATTTTACTTCATTAATACTGTATTATCAAAGTTTCAAGGGATTCTTATGTTACAACTTACAATTATTAAAATAGATATGTGCAGTACTAGGTTTAATGACATTGATACAAGTTAAAAAACTTGTATGCAGGATGGGCTGCAAGCAGTCTGTCATTGTTCACCCCATATTTCATACTCACCACAGCTATAAATATATTAGCTTAAAATTGCAAATTTATATGTCAACTTAAACCTTGTTCGACATATTTTTAAATAAAAATTATAACCAGGGATATACCCTTATATGACCTTCCAGAGGTATATATTCAATCCTCAAACCAATTGAATATTATCTACAAAATAAAAAAAAATAATATTTTCAAACTACAACAAAATGTATTTTGGTTTTTAATTTCGAAATATAAATTATACTGTATATTTTTACTATATTAAAATAAATAACTACCTTTTTGTATTACCTTGTTATTTACTTGTGCCTAAAATTAAAAAAAACTTACAAATTTTTGTTTAAAAAAATTAAATTATCGACATTTTGAGGCAATAACCTATTACGCCAAGCGCTTAATATTTGCCCAGCTTTTGAAAAAATTCTCTCGGCCGGCACTGAAGTAGCTGGAATAATACAGTATTTCAATGCAATGTCACTAAGTGGTGATAATACAGTTTTGTGGTCGTTCCAAAATACAGCAACATTGCTTTTTAAGTCTTGATGAGGCATACTTAAGTACTGTCTCATCAAGGATACAGCACTACTTGTTGTTGTTGTCTGTGACTGGACATTGGTGACTCTGGAGTTAAGAAAATTCCACACATTGTCGTCATCAGTATTCAGATTTTCTTGATATGTAGGTTGTTCTGAAATCAAGTAAAATTTGATTATATATTATTAATTATATGAGTCTTTAGAATTGAATTCTCAACATTTTTAATTACAATTTTTCTACAAAAAGGTTAAATCAAATCACATTTAAGATTAATAATATTTTTGTAGATAATAATAATTATTTTAAATTATGAAAAACACATTTAGTGTGTATTTATAAGTGATTTATTTTTTTAGCTATTATTAAGTTGTACCTATTATCATACTAATATAAGTTAGTTAACCAATTTTATTTAACTATATTTTATAGATTTAGCAACAATTATTTATTATTTACCTGTGTTTGAAGAATTACTAATTAAAGCAGCTGTTTCATTGACCAAATATCGTTCAGTTTCATTAGCATTTTGTTCAGACCCAAATGCAACCTTCTTGCACCTTGGGTCCAACAATGTAGCCCGAGAAAAATGCGGTGTTATGATTTGTTTTTCAATACTATCTAAACGCCTATTAGTATTTTCTATTAGTTTATTTTTTATAAACATTCCCAGTCGCGTTTTTTGAGTTTAAGAAACTAATGAACTTTGCAAACCTATAAATAATTAAAAACATTTTATAGTATTTAATAGAAAGCACAAAAATTAAACTGTATACAGAATCATCAAGTTAATTACCTCGTATCAATGGTATAATATTGTTGAAAGTGTTGGATATTGTTCTGCAGAGAGCTCAGTGGTCAATTTATCAAAAGGTCTTAATAACGGTATTATATCTTCAATGATGCTCCATTCATCAGGGCTAAGGTTACTAGGAGCTTCTCTTATGGAAATCATTACAATTGTTAGTGGTTCTTTCAGTTTTATAAGCCTCTCTAACATCAAAAATGTACTGTTCCACCGAGTACGTATGTCTTGTTTTAGTTTCAACACTGATTCACACCCAAGCTGTTTTTGTTTTTCAACCAACATTCTGTTCCCTACTTCGCTACGCCGAAAATAGCCAACTATATTCCTACACTTTTTGAATAATTCCTTCAGGTCACTTTCATCTATATCATCGCTGGGACCAATCTCTTGATTGTCAGATAACTTGAGCGAATTTTGAACAGCAAAATTAAGTTTGTGTGCAATACATGGCAAATGCGATAGATCCATGAGCCTGACTGCATCTTTTATATTAGATCCACCATCAGTGACCACTGCAACAACTTTTTCAAATATGTCCCATCTGTTTAATTCCTCAGTCATTATTTCACTTAGATTTACACTAGTATGGCTGGATTCCAATTTTTTGGTGCACAACACTAAGGTTTTCAATTGAGTTTGAAAAAGAACATGAACGGTCATAGTAATATAGGAATCAGTGTTCATGGACGTCCAAATATCAGTTGTGATCGCTACATGTTTAGCTTGGTTTAACAAAGTTTTAACTTTATTTTTGACAGTTGAAAATATTCTAGGAATTATTGTCCTTCCTAGTGTTCGCCTACTAGGGATTTCATATCTAAAAAAAAAAGTTAATTTAGGTTTATTTGTGACGATAAAAAAATAAAAATATCAAGACCATTAAGCCAAAATGCATTTAGTCAAGGTGGTTATATTATAAATAGTATATAATCAATAATAATACTAATAATTAATAATATATTGATGTTAGTGTTGATTTATTTAAAAAAAAATTGAAATATTAAAAGTTTTAATTTATTATTTAATTATTACCTGGAGTCCAAGAGTTGTATCATGTTACGAAATCCTGAGTTTTCAGCTACCATTTTAACAATAGCTTCATGGAATGCACTAACTTGGCTTTCCGAAGGAGTACCAAATCTTAAAAGAAATAAAAAAAAATAGGTACTGCTGATAAATCTTGAAAATGCTAAATTAAATACTTTATATCAATATTACTTCAAATTTAAAAATTGTATGAAAAATAGACTACAAAAATTAAATATGCTAATTTGCAATAATACTATATTATAAGTATTAATAAAGTTACTTCATTTTATTTGAAATACTAAGTACTCGTGCTACTGATAAGCCATACTGAAATAAACATACATATTGAATTTTTGGTTAGGTTTTTATAATATGGTACTTATATAGCAGACAAATACAGTTTTCCCTTAACAAATAATTGCATTCCAAACCAGTTGGATAATAATTAAACCTGTAAACTAAAAAATGAAATATGAGATTTGTATTAATAATAATTATTAATTAATATTAATAATTGTTTGTATTTTTAAGAATACAGTATATAAATCAATGTAATATAGATAAAATAATAATCTAAATATTATTATTTTTAAAATGCTTAATTTAAATACTTAATATCAATATTACTTAAAATTTAAAAATTGTATGAAAAATGGACTACAAAAATTAAATATGATAATTTGCAATAATACTAATTACTAATTACTAATATACATAAAATTTAAACCATTGAAAAGGTTTTGGTAATGTAGGTACTAAGATAAGTATTAATAAAGTTACTTCCTTTTATTTTGAAATACTTAGTTATTTTGAAATACTTAGTATTTATGCTGCTGATAACCATACCCTTGGATTTTTGGTTTTTATAATATTATGGTACCTACTTATATGGCAGACAAAAGACGGTTTTTTCTTAACAAATAATAATTGCACTCCAAACCAGTTGGATAATAATTAAACCTGTAAACTAAAAAATAAAATATGAGAACTGTAAATAATTACCAAATAGTAAATACACAATATCCAATTATTGTAATTTGTATTACTGAACTACTGGCTACTGGATAAGCACAGCTAAAATATAGCGTAATATAGAATATGTACATGCATATAAATTATAAATATAAATAAATGTAAGCATACGGTTAAATTAAATTTAGAAAACATACTTAAACCTAGTTAGTTTTAATTTTAACAGTATAAAATTAACAAATATACAAATTAACACTGTTAGAAACATGACAGTTCTGTCTTCAACTTATTTCTGAAAATTTATTATTAGAAATTAATATGATAGTTTATAATCTTACCTATTAGACAACAATAATTGTTTGTGTCTCATGCCAGTTTCAAGTGTTTCAACATTATTATTGGTTACGCTTACTGCAATTACTGGATTACCATGAGGAAGAACACTTGCAGATTGCGGTTGTTCTTGTTCCCCTGATGTACCTATTTAAAAAATCAAAATCACAATATTATTTTAGTTAACTTATTAAATTTTGGAGAAAATTATTAATAACTAATTCCACTAGAATCTTTTACTTTTAGGACATTTTAAAATCTAAATAGGTATGACTTACCTGGTAGATTTGTATCATATTCGTTTTGCTGTCGCAAATTACTACCATTTAACACCGTAAAATGTTTCCTCTTCAAATGGTCTAACAGATTAGTTGTACCATTAGATCGTTTATAGGGTCTTTTACAATGCTTACAAATAGCGAC